GGAGTGTGTGGGATTCTTGGGCACTTCATTCTCAGGGTGGGAAAGGCAAAAACAAGGAAGGGAGGAGCCCATCCTGGATGAGTCAGCAGCTCAAATGGAATTCAATGGCACACCTCTGTGTATTATATAAGGTGCAGCCATAGCTCTGGTCCAGCCATGAAATAGGAACACAGGGGGAAAAAAAAAACAACTCGGTCTTGGTAAGGGTAAATATGATACTATCAATGGAAAGGAGGATTATCAGCAAAGCAAAGCAAAATGACAGGCAGTAAAAAATATTAAAGACTGGGGCAAATTATTTCTCCAAGTAACAAATTCATGGCAATGCTCTAAGACAGAATATTTATGATCATAAACGTGATGGGAATCAACAACAGAGTCAGCATTCTGTGCATTTTCACTATTCTCAGGAAGAGCTCGATGAATACTTTTTTTCACCCTTACCATGGTCTATGCCTCAGTGTGTGTATATACATATATTTTTAATTTTTGTTTTATTTATTTATGTGGTGCTGAGGATTGAATCCAGTGCCTCACTCATGTGAGGCAAGCGCTCAGCCACTGAGCTAAAACCCCAGGCCAGATGCCTCAGTTTATATTTTGCAAAATTTTAAAGATGAAAAAGCTACAAACTTTTCTGATATTTTAAAATTATATCTACAAATGCTGGGATTACAGGGTATGTATGCCTGTAAAGGTATGTATGCCTGTAAAGGTATGTATACCTATAATCCCAGTGATTTGGAAGGCTGAGACAGGAGGACTGCAATTGAAGGCCAACCTGGAAAAGTTAGCAAAACTGTCTCAAAATAAAAATAAAAGGGGCTAAGGATATGGCTCAGTGGTAAAGCACACTGGGTTCAATCCCATGTTTTTTAAAAAAATACAAATATGTATATATTTTTATAAGTAAAACAAACTGAAATTATTTTAATTTTTAAACATTTAATTTTGCAACATTTAGATTCATTAAGAAAGTTATTTCCATTAATTATGCCAAGATTACTTGAGACCATAATACTATTATTCCCACTGTGAATTTATTTAAGTTTAGATGAATTTAACAGTTATATATTATTGGTCCTCCTGTAAATAATGCAGTTAAAAAGAGTTCTTAAACACAACTTTCAGTATGCCCTTATTAGTTGCCTAATGCCTTCTTTTCTGCTGTTACTAAAACTATACTATTAAAAATACAACATTTACTAGTGTAGAACAAAACATTCCCTAAACTGTACCTAGGACATGAGGCCTTGGAATTTCACTTTCCTCCTTCTCAGATGTTGCCATATGCTTTTTTTTTTTTTAATATTTATTTTTTAGTTGTAGTTGGACACATTACCTTTATTTAATTTATTTATATGTGATGCTATGGATCGAACCCAGGGCCTCGCATCGCTCTACCACTGAGCCACAACCCCAACTCTTGCCATATGCTTTTGATTCCATAAACTGTACAATTATAAATAATCATTTCATAAATCATGAAGTAGTTATTAATTTATCTACACATAATAACTCTCAAATGGTCTTCTTACTCTATTTTTTGTGGGGGCAGTGCTGGGGTTTGAACCCCGGGCCTTGAGCTTTCTAAGGAAGTTCTACCACTGAGCTACGCCTTCAGCCACATCAGGTTTTTAAAAAACATTCTGAAGCAACAGAAACATAAAATTTGCCAAGATACACACACACACACACACACACACACACACATTTGTTCTTGGTCAAAGAAAAAAAAATCTGAAAACATGCAATTTTCAGTTTAATGAGAATTCCCTCCTGTCCTAGTCAGTTCTGTCATTTTAGCTCCAGACACAGGGTGTTCATTTTGGTCAATTAATCATCCTTCAGTTAGTCTCAAAATATGAGAAAGATTAATTCTAATAATAGGATACTGATTCTTTTAGTGATTCCTAATTTTTTTTCTTTAAAAAAATCAAGCAGTCACCTGATAGTTCTTAAAAAAAATTTATGAGATCACCATGTGAATTTGGCATTATTTCTTAAAAGGAGTACAAGAAACAGAGTGACACTGATATAATATTCCCTGGTAAAGCAAGTTAATATTGCCATTGGCTATTGAACTCTGAATACAGAGTTTTATATGAAAAACACTTAGTTTATAGACCAATGGTACATTTTACCAAAAAAGTAAAAATGCTTTTGTTTTTAACAGAGGCAGGTTTTCAAACTGTTTTATGAAAAAGTAGGAGAACCCCTACTGTCTGAGAAAGCTTACTAAATCTCAAAGTCTATCTCTTCTGAACTACACTATTAAGTAAAAAATTTGGGTGTCAACCCAAAGTGTTCAGGACTGGGAGTCATGGAAGAGGCATTTTAAACAGACAAGTTTCTGGTTTTCTAGAGCTAAGAAGGATATACAAGTTAGCTTGATTAGGAAGTATATTATTAAGATGTAGAAATATTCTGAGGATCTTTTGGACGAGACACACTGAAAGGAAGGTATATTAGTGACTAAGGATAAACAAGGCTAATGATTTAAGGATAAGAGTCTAGAGTGAGTTTAAGAACACCGGATCTGGCATTTTGCTATATTTCAAAGCAGAGCTCTACATCTAAACTTGTCAATTTTTGAAGAAGAATACGGCTCTCTTCAGGTCTACGGCACAGTGTTTAAGTTCTGCCCAGTTTGGTAGTATCTGCTTCCATCAGGTAGATTGCTGAAACTCAAAAACTCATTCCTGTGGTTCTAGACCACTCTTTCCTGACAGAGATTTCCAAGAATGGAAATCTCTTGTTTGGTAGTAATTATCCATAAGATCCTTTCCAGAGGGCTGGGGTTGTGGCTCAGTGGTAGAATGCTTACCTAGCATGTGTGAGGCCCTGGGTTCGATCCTCAGCACCACATAAAGATAAACAAATATTTGTCCATCTACAACTAAAAAACGTTAAAAAAAAATCCTTTACAGAGACTTTCACTATACCCATTAATAAATCTGGTCCTTATATAAAGGCTATATGACATAGATGTCATCCATATTCTTCATCTCTATTATTTTCCCCCTTTCAATTTTTTATTTTCCATAATTATTCTCTATTTTCTTTAATCCTTCAAGATCTTTTCCTAGGTAACTGCAGGTTATGAATAGAGAGCATACTAGGAATCTGTCTTGAGTCAGCCTGGAATAAATGCAGCTTTCATATCTCTTATTTTCTTATCTTCTTGTCCTGAAATTCCAGTTTTTTCTGACATCTCTCCCTATTTCTACCTCCATTCTTCTTCCTACCCAGAGGCCACCTGAAACATGCAGAATAATAAAAGGTGATTAACCAATATTTGTTCCCATAAAATTGTTCTCCTATGTAAGCATGGTGGTGCATTTCTGTAATCTCAGCTGAAGCTGAGGCAGGAGGATCACAAGTTCAAGGTCAGCCTCAGCAATTTAATAAGATCCCTTTCCAAAGTAAAAAATATATATATAAAGGGCTGGGGAATGTGGCTAAGTGGTAGAGTACGCTGAATTCATTCCTTAGTACTGGAAGATAAAAAAAGCTATAAACAATAGTGTAGGTATGTCCGTATAGAAGAAAATACAAACAGTAGTCTTTTTAAAAATATATTTTTAGCTGTAGATGGACATGATATTTTAATTTTATTCATCCATTTATGTGGTGCTGAGAATCAAACCTACACATGCTAGGCAAGCACTCTACCAATGAGCCACAACCCCAGCCCCACCTTTTCTATGACAAATACATACAGGCCTTTGCCTATCTTTATGACTTTATGACAATATGACATATTACACTTAAAGACCCTGCATTGGTTTCCAACCCTTTTTGGTCACAAATACCTGAAGGACATGATATTCCCATCTCTAGCTGTATTGCGAAGGTTAATTTTATGTATCAAATTTGCTGGCTTATGGTGCCCAGATATTTAGTCAAATATTATTCTGGATGTTCCTGTTTAGGTATTTATTCTTTTTGGGGGGGGTGGTGGGAGAGGTACTGGGGATTGAATTCAGGGGCACTTGACCACTGAGCCACATCCCCAGCCCTATTTTTTTTTTTTTGTATTTTATTTAGAGACAGGGTCTTGCTGAGTTGCTTAGTGCCTCTTTTTTGCTGAGGCTGGCTTTGAACTCTCGATCCTCCTGCCTCAGCCTCTCCAGCCTCTGGGATTACAGGTGTGCACCACTGTGCCTGGCAAGTTGTTTATTCTTGAGATTAATATTTCTCAAGAGTGGACTTTGAATACAGCAAACTACCCTTGATATATTGATGGGCCTCATTTGATCAACTGATGGTCTTAACAAAGACTGACCTCTTCCAAGTAAGAAGGAATTCTCTCAGCAGACTGCCTTTGGACACAAACCTCTCTCTCTAAAGAAAGACCACAGGGGAAGAGTGAGGGGTGATAAGCTAGAAACAGTGGTGCCAGCAACTTAATGAGACTCTATCTTGAAGAAAGAAAAAGAAAAATTGGGGATGTAGTTCAGTGGTAGATTGCCCCTGGTTTCAATCCTGAGTACCGGGGGAAAAAAAAGTAAAAAAGGTAAAAGAAAAAGGCTACACTCAAGTCTCCACTGAGGATAGATAAGATTGGACACTGTAATGGGAAGGAATTGAGCTAGAAAAATTTCCTGAAAGTAGCACTAGCGAAGGATGCTAAGGAAGTATATCTTTTAAAAAGGTCTTTGAAAATATGGCATGAATAATTAGCAACATTTGCATTCTGTAATACACTAGTGAATTTACCATAAAAATTTATCTCAGTACACTTTTAGATTGCTGATATTAGAGAACTAGGGAGGGTTACTGTGCAAAATCTCACTTATAAGTCATTAAGAAAAAAACTTATTGGCAAAGTTGATAAAAAAAATTAAGGGTCTAAACCACATGATTTTTAAATCTATGGTATCATAACTTTAAAAGTAATGAAGGATGCACCTCTAAAAACAAGATTTTCTCCATATCTACCTATAAAAAGAAAAATCCAATGCCATCAGATAATGACTTCAAAATTCTGGGCTTACCTTTTTTTTCTCCAGTGTAGGGCACATAGTCTTCCCTGTCCTTTTGCTCCAATGCTTCCTTCTCCAGATATGAAAGGAGGTGTTCTCTATCAAAAGGTCCTGTGGCAGACTTTGACGTCTGATTTTTTTGCCGGAAACCTGCAGGCAGAAGGGCATTCTGCCAAAGAGAATATAATGGCCGTTATTACTACTACGAATGCCAATATTAAATGTTTCCATATATTTCCCATATAAAAAAGAATTACAGACTAGAATGTGATGTAGGCGTTAAACTTCACTGCTAGATTTCAAGGCAGTAATATAAAAATGATCCAAATGAAGAACTTGTTTTTTTGAAAACAGACAATTCATTTACATTACTGATAAAATAGGTACCTACATATTTTCTTCAGAAAGTATTCTACTAGCAGGAAACATCCTTTAGTTTTTAAGTGTCCAGGGATTGTAATAAAAAATAATTTTCTTAATACTTAAAAACTGCTAGGCAGGGGCTGGGGTTGTGGCTCAGTGGTAGAGTGCTCACCTAGCATGTGCAAGGCCCTGGGTTCGATCCTCAGCACCACATAAAAATAAGTAAATAAAATAAATGTATTAAAAAAAAAATTTGCTAGGCAATTATGTACCTAAGACTAATTCTATCACAAAAGAATTTTAAATGACTATACATGATATTCCCTCCTAAAGACTTCCATTTAATCACACATACTTTTTCATGATATACATACATATATACACAAACACACACACATATACACATATATATAAATATAGGCTACAAAGAGATTAATATTCACTTGTTTTACATAGACATAATAGGAATGCTTCCACACTATCCACTACATGTTTGTATAGTGCACACATGAGCACTAGGATGGACTTATATTGATTACTGTCACTGCTGCTCAAGGCCCAAGGCATTCTTAAGATAAAACCAGAATTCAGCTTCCTTGGATTTTCATGTGGACATATAGTCTTTTTGAGTGCATGGACTAAGAGTGGGGATTAGGGGAAGAAGGATGATGGATTCAACTTAAGTTGTCTAAGGCAGTCCCTACTCTATAAATTTTCATGAAGCGACGAATAACACAGGGTGACAAGATAACGAGAGCATCATCTTTTTATTTATCAAAATCCAGAGATGAGAATGCCTTAAATCCTATTTCTGGTATTCTTTTCCTCGACAAATGAAAGTCAGTCAGAGAAGTCACACCTCTTTTGTAACACCTCCCAATATTGGCAATGATGCTGAATCTCATAGTGCTATAAGTCAACTTTTCATTATAAAACTTGCTCTTACAGCTGTGCACAGTGGTGCAGGCCTGCATTCCCAGAGAACTGGAAGGCTGAGGCAGGAGGATCCCAGGTTCAAGGCTGGTCTCAGCAACTTAGTGAGATCTTGTCTCAAAATTAAAAAATAAAAAGACCTGGGTGTGGGGAGCCACATTGAGTTACCATGGCTTCTAGTCCTGATGCACCCTGGGGATGTGAAAGATCACTGTAGTCTGGTGCAGTTGTGCCATGACTCATGACTCGGTCCCTACCCCTCTTCCCGCTTGGATAGCAAGGCCAGGATTCTGAGTAGGCATACCCCTGGGGTTGAGCGTCACTCATCTCTTCTTTTGTAATCTTACCCCATTTGCCCTGTTTGGGATAGAATGTTCCATGAAACGCCCTTTGTGTGTCCCCCTTCTCTTGTTCTTGTTGGGTGTGGCCTTCCTAGATGTCAGTCAATCTGCTGATAGCAGACATCATGAAGCTAGACTCAACCCCCACCCCCAACCTAACCCCTTGCCTCCTTTGAATGGCTTCTCCCCAATAAAAAGGTTCAGCATGATCTCTCTCTCTCTCTCTCTCTCTTTCTTTCCACGGACCCCTAAGGTCAGAGGAGCTGTCACAGGACCCAGAGAAAAAGGTATCTCTGTCTCTTGTGTGATTATTTCATGCAGCCCAGTTCACCTGGAGTGACCTTGAGTATTTTAGTCGTGAAACTTGAACTGTAGCTCAGTGATAAAGTGCCTATAGGTTCAATCCCTATTACCAAAAAAGTAAAAAAAAAAAAAAAAAAAGGTAATCTTACATAAGTAATGATAGTAGAAAATGCTCACAACTCTGCATTTATACCTAATTACACTTCAACTCTGGCCATTTGCTGGGATCAATAATAATTTTCGTAAAATTCAATTTGGTGTTCCCCTTAATGTAATGGTTCTTATTACATAGAAGGCTGACCTATAAAGATAAACCACAAAGGAGGCCTGTTCCTGTGTTGTCTATGGGACTATATAAAAGAAAAACAAGATTTCTACCTTTAGACTTTGAAATCAAGATAACAATGTTATATGAAGAATCCATTCCTAGTCTATCTTTAAATCCTATACATATTTACTTTGTAAAGAACTCAATCATCATTTTCCCATTTGTAACGTCATTACTTTGATCCAAACTATGATCCAAGCTTGCCTGGAATGTTACATTAGCATTCCAACTGATCTTCCTGGATCAGGTGCCCAATCCTCCTCATTCCTCACTCTTACTCCCTAATCTGTGACCCTAACCTCTTCTCATATATCCTCTCTATTCTATTCAGACTAGACTTTTTTTTTTCTCTCCCTGTACTTGTGATATCCTTCTATCACAAGGCCTTTATGTGTACCTGAAAGACTATCTATCTTTTTTTCTTCTCATTTTTAAGACTGCAGTTCCATGACCCCAAGGGAAGCTTTTTCTACCCGTGATTGTAACTCACAGTTCCTAGTGTTCATCATTATTCTAACATGGTATGATTATTTGATTAAAATCTAATTTTACACAATGAGCACTCTTGTATATCTGAGTCTAGTATACTATATGTATACTAGATCTACCTAAAACATTTAATGAGTAAAGATTTTAGAATACTTTTAAAGAAAAATGCTCACTGAGGCAAATTAATAAAGAAGTTATTTTCTTCCCACATCAAAAAGCATTTGTATTGCTATTTTATGATGGTAGTAGTAATGGAGTTGCATTATGCCACCTGGCTGCTCAAGCTCCTATGAAACATATAGTTTTAAAATATGTTAGCCGAAATCCTGGTTCCTTAAATAGTCTTTGACCACAAAGTAAATGGCAGCTCACTGGTTTCAGAGGCTATAAACCCACACACTAAGCTTCATTAGAAGTATATTCTAATCAAGAATCCACCCCCCTCTCAATGCTGGGGATCAAACTCAGGGCCTTGTGTATGATAGGCAAATGCTCTACCACTGAGCCACACTAGCAGTCTATTGTAGAGTAATATTGTTGTAGCAATATATTCCCAGCCTTGGAAACAAATAAAACAGCTTTAACTTATACTGGCTGTCTTTTGGAAATAGATGTTTTATGAAAATGTAGTGAGTTATCAAGTAAATACACCTAAGTGCAGCATAAATACAATAAAATAGCCCTTTAAAATATAGCAAGATGCCATTCATACCTTCCTATGCTCTCATCCTACCATTTGAGACTTGGTAAGTTACAGAGTCTCTAGTAGAGGCAGCTGCAATTACCCTTGCCCTCTTTTCCTACCTGATACTTTACTTGAACTCTCAAAAAACATTACAGGACTAGTGGCATGCTGTCAATAAACATCACTGTTTTCCTGGTTTGACTAATAGTATCTGAGGATGAAGGAATTTCAAATGGGGTTGGGAAATGTACAAAATACATTCAGAGATTAGAGCTCAACCTCCCCATACAAGAAGTAGGCCAAGGATTTGCAAATAAGAAAATGTAAGTGATCAGATTTTAGACGCATACCACAGTATATGAGTTCCAGAGGAGACTCACTATGGTTTAACAGAAAGACTGCCAGATCCCAGATGTCAAGCAGGCAGTGAAGGATCTAATCTCAGTTCTTTCCTCAACTATAATACTAAGGCAAGTCACCTCTTTTGTTTCACATCTGTAAAACAGAGGGCAGGGACTAGAGTGTTTTTCAACCAGGGGCTTTTTGTTTCCCAGAGGATAGATACCTGGTAATGTATGAGAACATTTTTGCTTGTTAAACTGGGGGTTGGAGTATTTTTTTTTTTTTTTTTACTTTCTATATTTTATGATGCTTTGACATCTTAGGGACCTTACAAATCCTGAAGAGATGGCCCCTTCCAGTGCTAGCTAATTCCTAGAGATAGCATTAACCCTACTTTCCACCCAAACCTACCAATTGCATAACTTTCATATGCAAACCAGTCAATCCAGGTCTCCGGATCCCAATAATCTTAGTTATCTAACTCTTACACTTCATGCCAATATTTCCCCTACTCTAATAACCTAAGGCAAGGTACGAGGCAACTAAGTACTAATTCTATAGACTGGAGCCTGTGGTCTCATTCATTTATTCATTCCCTCAGAAACTGCAATAAAGGCTCTAGACCATGGTTGCTCCTTTTTCCTTCTTTCTGACCAAATAAAGTGCTTTCTCATGTGTCTCTGCCTGGACTGCTTCCAGCTCCTGGACCATGCATAATAAATTCTTTTTTTCAAGGCAGTTGTTTCTGTGTCTGTCATTTTACCACACCTGATTAAAACGATACCTCAGGTACAGTTCAAAATGGTAGGGAGGTGGGGTGGTGTGCTATTGGCATGTACTGAGCCAGGGATGAGGTTAAATACTCTGTGAGTCCCTCACAACAACAACAAAAAAATCATACAGTCCCAACGTTGCCGCAGTCTGGCTGGGCACAATCAGGAGCCACTTGTCAAAAGAAACTAACTTTATTTTTAGAACCACACACGCCAAACAAAACAGCCTCTCAGGAAAAACCCTCAGAGCCTCAACTGCCACCACCGGCTTTCCACAAGCCTCTCTCTCCCACACAAGCTTCTCTCCACCTCCCCATAATAACCATCTCATTATTAATGGCTCTTAAATCTTGCAATAATCTCCATTTACCAGATTTCTTTTTGATGACAAAAATGGGAGTATTATGGGGAGATACAGAAGGTTGTATATGTCCTTCTGCTAATTGTTGTTTGACCAGGTCATGGGCTGCTTGTATCTTTTCTTTAGTCAGGGGCCACTGAGGAACCCATACTGGTCTTTCTGATTTCCAAGTAATTTTTATTGTCTCAGTGGCCCTTTCTGAAAATCCAACCCATGTCTGTCTGTTCCTTGATCTATTTGTATTGGTGCTGCTATACCTTGTTCTTGTTTTTCTAATCTTTTTCCTTTCCTAAAACCTTGTCTAGTCATAATAGTTGTCTAGTCAAACCTTGTCTAGTCAATAGTGTCAAGGTTAAAAAAAAACAAAAACTTGATTACAATGCCGAGCATGGTGGCACACAACTGTGATAATCCCAATAAATCAGGAGGCTGAGGCAGGAGGATCCTAAATTTAAGGCCAGCCTCAGCAACTTAAGCATCCCTAGGTTCAATCCCCATTACCAAAAACAAAAACAACCTAGACTACATAAACTTGTGTGTTCATTCCAGTTCTAAAATCATTTGATTTAAAGAGGGTTAACAGGTTGAACTGCCTATAGAATGTAGTGCTGAGACATGATAGAAACAGCACTATTTTTCTGAATAATCCCTCAGACTTAGGCATACTGATAATTTTTCCTTATAACACTGATTTTGGTCAAGAGAATTTGATCTTTGGAAGTGTGGCTCAATGGTACAGTGCATGCTTAGCATACTCTGGGTCCTAAGTTCAAGCCCCCCCCCCCAAATAAAACAAAACCAAAACTCTACCTCAATTTGTTTTGTTTTGGTACTAGGGATTAAACCCAGGGATAAAACCACTGAACTATATCCCCAGACCTTTTTATTTTTTATTTTGAGACAGATAAGGTCTTCCTAAATTGCTTAGAACCTTGCTAAATTGCTGAGGCTGGCTTTGAACTTGTAATCCTTCTCTCTCAGCCTCCCAAATTGCTGGGGTTACAGGCATATGCCATAGTACCTGGCTTACCTCAATTCTTAAAGGGCACTTAAAAAATCAATGCCTGGGCATAAAAAAAGTGGTAAATTCTAACAAATATCCAATATTTTTAGGTTCTCTCCTGTTGCCTGTCCTTCCATAAATGAACAATTCAAGGATTAAGAGTCTCTACTTTGCCTTGTGCAATTTGTAAAACAAATAACATTTACTTTGAAAATGGTTCAATTGTAAGATGGTGCAGAAAGTGAACTCAATACAATCATTCAGGTTTTCACTTTCAGTATAGTATTCAATAAATTATATGAGACAGTCAACGTTTTTAAAAACAGGCTCTGTATTATATAATTTTGTTCAACTATAGACTAACTGAAGTGTTCTGAGAATTTTTAAGGTAGGCTAGGCAAAGTTAAGATGTTTAAGAAGTTAGGTGTATTAAAGGCATTTTGACATAATATTTACAATTTAAGATGGGTTTGTAGGGATGCAATGCCATAAAGTCAAATAGCACTCAGGTTTAGATCTGCTCCACAGTCAACTGTTGTACTGCTTTTGAAAGGCTCCTCAGATCTATTCTACCAATGACTAGAAACACCCTTTGTGGGAGGCCAGCCTTATGGGTGACTGAGTTACACTCCCCAGCTGGGTGCTGAGGCGCTCAGTCACAGAAATGGGTGTGTCTTGCTACAGCCCCATGGGTGAAGCTATGCTCACCTGTTCCTTTGTAATATAACCCCTTGCCCTGTTTAGGATAGAATCTTCCATGGAAGTGCCTTGTGTGTGTCCCCTCCTCTTACTGTGCCCTTGGGTGTGGCCTACCCAGGTGTCAGTCAACCTGCTGACAGTGGACATCATGAAGATAGACTCAGCCCCCTGAAACCTGACCCCTTGCCTCATTTGAATAGCTTCTCCTCAATAAAAGGGGTCAGCGCGTGCTCTCGCTCTCTCTCCTTCTGCGGACCCTTAAGGTCAGAGAAGCCGTCACAGCAACCCCAAAGAAAAAGGTATTTGTGTCTCTTGTGTGGTTATTTCGTGCAGCCCAGTTAGCCCAGTTTAACTAGAGTGACCCCTGAGCCTTTTAGTCGCGAGAACAGAAACCCGGCAACCCTTTGTCAGCATCTCTCAGCAAGGTAACAATTAGGTTTAAGGTCATGAAGAACTTTCTAGAGGCACTGTACACTGGAGCCATACTATTCTAGAGTCTCTGAAGAGACAGAAGAGATCAGTATATAAAAAAGCTAATCATTTGCTATACTTAACCAAAAATATTCTTCCCTGCATAGAAAGAAAAGATTTGTTAGAGGAGAAACAAATTCAGGAGATGTTCAAACACAACAATGATAGAGATGATAGTATAGAATAGTCATGTCATAAAGACATAGAGGCATAAGTGTGAGAACTGGAGAGGAAGCAAAAAAGCAAGTTCATCTGGATAAAGAAGAAGAAGAAAGCTCCAAGAGAAAGGCAAGAGAAAGGCATGAGAAAGCAAACTGCTAAAGACAGCTACTTTGTTTCAAAGGGGTTGAAGAGTTATTTCATTTCTTTTCCTCTGCTAAAACCTACCTCAGGGTCAAGATCATCCAGAACAGTTTCTAGTTGTTTCAGTTCTATTTCTGACAGATTTTCAAGAAGCTCATCTTCATCCAGGTCCTTGTATTTTTCTAAGTCCTTGCGGAATGGTAGTGCCATGATCTGCAGTGTAAGAACTCACTTGCTATTCAGTATAGTCAGAAGTGATTTCTACTTTTCCTTAAAGCTATGGAGAGAAGAAACAAAAACATTTTAAATATTATGTCATCTCACCTGTTTACATCTATTATTATGACAAGTAAAATGCTATTTCTGTGTGTCTTATATTATTTAATCATGTATCACATGCTACTCTTAGCTATAACCATTTGTCTTTTGTTGGCAAAATAATCAACTGGGAAAAAACAGGAGGGAATAAATATGTTAAAACAGTTATTTGGGGCCTGGGGTTGTGGCTCAGTGGTAGAGAATTTACCTAGCATGTGTGAGGCACTGGGTTCAATTCTTAACACCACATATAAATAAAATAAAGGTAATGCCCATCTTAAACTAAAAAAATATATAACAGCAACAGCTACTTGATAGATTTTAGATAACTGATAATTAGATAATTTTAGATAATTTTCTGATACACTCTTCTTCCTCTCTTGCTTTTATGGATAAATTGCCAGACTCTTCTCTAAGGTCAACCATGCCTTCCTGTGATCAGAACCCATCCTTGTTCATTTATACAAGATTACTCTATTGTGCTCTGTCTCTACTGGATCATGCCCATTAGCATAGAGACTATAATGTATCACCCAAATTAAAAACAAGTTTTCCCTCAACTTCACATTCCTTTCCAAACACTGCTCTGTGTCTTGGCCCCCCCCTTTAGAGCAAAACCCCTTTCAAGAATCACTATATTTAGTACTTCAAGTCCTTATTCTTACAAATCTTATCCAATCTAGCTTTCATTCCTAACCATCAATCCATTCAAACTGACCTCATCAGCAATGACCTGCATTGTGCTAAATCCAACTGTCAATTCTTAGTCCTCATCTCATAAGAGCTATCAGAAGCCACACTTGATAATAAAACAATTTCCTCATTTGGTTTGGGGACAGTATTTTTGGTCCTCCATTATTTCCCTGGCTGCTCCATTTCATTATGTTCTGCTAGTTCCTCTTCGCCCTCCTCATTTTTAAATGTTAGAAAGCCTCCAGGACTTAGTTTCTTGGTTCTCTTTCTAGACTCACTCCTTGTGATTTCATATAGTGACAACTCTCAAATTTATATCTCCAATTTGGACCCTTTTCCTCCACACTTAAAAATAACTTACCTAGGGCTGGGGTTGTGGCTCCGTGATAGAGCACTTGCCTAGAATGTATGAGGCACTGGGTTCAATCCTCAGCACCACATAATAAATGAATAAAATAAAGGTCCGTCAACATCTAAAAAAATATTTAAAAAAAAACTTACCTAGTCAGACATAATGGCACATAACTATAACCCCAGTAATTTTTTAAAATATTTATTTATTTTTAGTTTTCAGCGGACACAACATCTTTGTTTTATGTGGTGCTGAGGATCGAACCCGGGCCACACGCATGCCAGGCAAGCGCGCTACCGTTTGAGCCACATCCCCAGCCCAACCCCAGTAATTTGTGAGGCTAAGGCAGGTTGATAATGAAGGCACACTTCATTTAATTGTATCATCTGCATAGGTTCATGTCAGAAGTTTCCACACATTAGAGATACTTCATGTTGCCCTTCCTCTCTAACCCTAGTTCAAAACTCAAAAGAATGACAATTCTAAGTACTGGCAAAGACACGGAGCAACTGGAACTCTCATAAAGTTGCCAATGGAGAACAAACTGAATCAACTATTAAAAACTATTTTAGCAGTATCTGCAAAAACTAAACAAAAACATACTATAATGACACAGAAATTTCATTCCTAGTTGGATACCCAAGAGAAATGGCTACTCATGTTCATAAAAATTATGTACAAAAATCTTTATAGAAGCTTTATTCATAATATGCCTAAACTGGAAATGACCAAATGTCCATCAACAGTTTACACAAATCAATTTATGTAATGGACTATTACATAGCTATAAAAGGCAAGTAATGATATATACAAAAAGAATGAAATCTCATATGCATTGAGAGAAATTTTTTAAAAATTAGAAAATAATACATACTACATACTTTCATTATATGAAATTCAAGAATACGCATAACTAATCCATAGGGATGAAAATCATAATAGGGGATAATGATTAGGTAGGGTCATCAGAGAACATTCTGGGATGATGAAACTATGTTATATTCTTGAATTGGGAAGCAGTTATATAGGTACATACAGATACAGAAAATTCATTAAACTGTACATTTAAGACTTTCTCTTTTTACTTTTAAATTATATGTCAAAATACTTAAAATACATGTTTGTTTTATATGATTATATATATATTTTATGTTAAAAATTAAGTTTCCACAAACTTGGAAAAAACTGCTTTTTCTGCAGCCATGATAGTAAGTAGTCATCAAAAAAAAAAAAAATCAACAATTTGCCTTTACAAGATCATCAGTCATTGTTAATGGCTCACTTCTAAAAGTCAGTCAGGAATAGAGTAACTCCAGTAAACACTCCTTGAGTTCCAGCTAACCAATCATGATCATGCTTTTTCAGACGTCATCCCATGATGGCCTCTGAACTTTCCCCAATCCTTGAGTTCCACACTTCCCCCAAATCCTACTTTAAAAAAAAACAAAACCCAAACAAACAAATGGTCTCTTCTGCTCAGAAAAACTATGCCCGGTCAGAACAGTTTTCCCTTAAGGGTAAACACTAAATTTAGCTTTGCTTTTTTATTTCAGATATTGACTGGGGGGTCTCATCAACTTTTCATGCTGAAGAAAACTTTTAGTGATTACATTTGTTTGTTTTTAAATAAAAGTGTTTCATTTTGTTGTTTGTAGGATGGAACCCAGGGGTGCTCTACCACTGAGCTACATACCCAGCACTTTTTTTCTTTTGAGACAGGGTCTAAGTTGCCCAGGGTACCCTCAAATTTGTGATCCTCCTCATATCAGCCTCCCAAATTGCTGGTATTACAGGGGTATATCATCAAGTCTGGAAGAAGGGCTTCACTGTTGATAGATACTAAATAGTGGTTAAGATCAAAATATTCCTTCTGGACAATATCCATGTAATTTTTTGGAACTGAATTTGGTTCACTATTCAATAATTTCATAAATATTGCTTCAATTTATTTTGGTAAATATTTTTCAAATAGGGGGCTAGGGTTGTAGCTCAGAGCCTGGAATGCTTACCTAGCATGTATGAGACACTGGGTTTGGTCCTCAGCACCACATAAAAATCAATAAAATAAAGTTATAGTTGTCCATCTAAAACTAAAAAAAACATTTAAAAATTTTTTTCCAAATAAATATTCCTTTTCCTTTTTTGTTAAAATACATTATCTCTGCCTGGGATTTTAACATTTAAAATGTCTAAATGTTCTCTTATTTAACTTTAGGCTTGAGTTTCATCTTTGCTGTTCTGAGGAACATTCACATTGATGAAAAAGACTTAAGTAAAGAAAGACTTCCATTTATTCCTGGGATTGCCACACCACAGGTTGAATAAAAGTATCTGTCAGCATAGTGTGGTAAATTCCTCAATTGAAAAGGAGTATTCAGAGTCTCATAAGATCTCCCTGGGCATCTCACAGTGTCTGGTACCACAGCAAACCTTGACTCTAAATGAATGCTTCGCCTCTGTGCCCATAGGTATTGGTACTGAAGCAAGCTGTACAGGTGGAAGAAAAAATACAGTCAAAGAATAGAAAAAGTCTCATAGGTTATTTCCTCTTTACCAGTTTATGATTCTAAACACTGATTATAACCAAAAAATTTATTCAGTGTCTTCTTAGGGCTGCTATAGCCAAATTTTATAAACTAGGTAGTTTATAAACAATAGTTCTTACAATTCTGAAGCTGGGGAAGTCCAAGATCAAAAACCAGGAGATTCAGAGTCTGGTGAGGGTCCACTTTCTGATTCAGAGGGTGGTTTCCAGCTGTGTCCTTGTGAGGCAGAAGAGGCAAGGCAGTGCCCTAGAACCTCTTTTATAAGGGCCCTAATTCCATTCATAAGGGCTCTGCCCTCATTTCCAAATCACCTTCTATAGGCCCCACTTCCTTAATACCATCACATTGGTGATTATGTTTTCAACAATGAATTTGGGGGAAGAGACACAAACATTCATACCACATTCAGTGTCACTGTGCATATAGTATTTACCTTCTAAAAAAGGAAACTCATTTTATTTTAGCTGTTTGTATTATATATTACTTTTATGGTAGGTAAGATTTTTTTATATAAATACATAAAAAATAAACTAGATGCTATATCTATCAATTTATGTACAATAAAACCTAAAAGACAGTGCTTTAAATGTCTTTCATGGTGTTTTTGAGATGCAATGGTACACCCAGATGTAGGCACATCTGATATAGTTGCTTTGCACACAGAAGCTTGTAAAAATGGTGGCAGATTATTATGCATAAAAGCTATACAGAAACTAACCAACTCAAGTATGAGATTAGAGTAGCCTTTGTTACTGACGCCATCTTGAATTTTTATTTTGTTTATTTATTTTTGGTATGGGGACTGAACTGAGCCACATCTCCAGATTTTTTTTTTTTTTTTTTTAATTTCAAGACAGGGTCTCTCTAAGTTGCTTATGGCCTCACTAAGTTGCTGAGACTGGCTTTGACCTTGTGATACTCCTGTCTCAGCTTCCAGAGGCACTGGGATAACAGATGTGCACTACCATGCTCATCTTATTTATTTACTTTTGATTTTTTGAGACAGAATATTTCTAAGTTGCTAAGGATCTTGTAAATTGCTGAGACTGGCCTCCTGATGCAGCCTCCCATGTCACTGGGATTGCAGGCATGCATCACTGCACCTGACTGCCATCTTCAGTTTTTTTAAAATGAGATCTGTAGATCCCAAAAGACAAAGGAAAGAAAATTAAGTCTGAAGTCTAAAGGCAGAAAAACTTGTTAAGGCCAGAACAAAGAAAGGAATTTAATTACAGCAGGATAGGGAGGGCAATCTTAAGGAAGAAAGCAGTCAAATCATTTCTGTGACTATTACAAGAAAATATTTAACAGGTTGCTCACGCCACTTCAGAAACTATCTTTCAGTGAGACCTTACTGAGAGAGTCTTG